TGTTGGTACAGCGGAAGTGATCGTTACGCAGCGTTGGTCACAAACAATTAAATAAAGTGCATACAATAAATAGAATAGAAGAAAAAAAGAATTTGGTAACAGGGTTCAATCAATTGTGTCTACGTCCCCGGGAGCGCTGAGCGGCTACCAAGATATTACTAGAGAATAAGGATTACAAACCTAGCACACTCATGGGTCCAAGTGCTCATATGGTGTTTCTATTTGTTGCTTATATCTAGTGCACATTACAGCAAGGGACATGAGTCCAATATATAACATTAGTTACTCTACTCTATTCCAATACTAGGTGATGTGGAACTAATGTAATAACATATTTCAAGTATTCACAACAATCTTCACCTTGATTGAAATAGACGAATATCTCACTCCTTAGAAAATCTATACAAGATTCTCCACCTTAGCGAATATCTGACTCCACCTTGCTCAATGCATAATTCTCTTTAACAAATTGATCTACAAAAAAGAGTCTGCTCCCCTTCAGCATAAACCTTATGTGTATCCTTGACGATGTTACCAAGAGTCTAACTCTCTAAACTTGTAGTGCACCTTCCCGTACCGCCATCTAATGGAACACGACGCCTAGCCATCAATTTCTAGGAAGTCTATCGATGATAGAACCTCTACACAAAAGTTCACCAACAACTGTCTTCTTCAATACTCAGTCAAACTAAACCTTTGAGCTTCCATGGAAAGCCTCAACCGCTACCACCATTGTCTAGCCTGACAATCAAAGTTCAAAAGGACTATCATACTCCATCATAAGGAGTATACCCACAACACACACCTTGTGTAATGCTAACCAATGCTCATGCCACACCCTTGCATCCAAGCCAATGTCCATGTCACACCCTGCATATCTACCAATGCTCGTGTTACACCTTGTATCAAAGTCAATGCCCATGTTACACATTGCATCAAAGTCAGCCAACGCCTCTGTGCTTTTATGGATCTACTAACAATTGATGTCCTTCACTATGGCGTCTCAGACACGCCATTAGATATTTCACTTCTCATCTCAAATGAGGTCATTCTCTCAACATCTAGAGAGATATTGTCACTACTTGTCTTAGGGCCAAACTCAACACAACATGAGTCTCTATCTCCACCTTGATCCTAATCCAGTATATGAACTTCTAGGATTTTGGATCAACATATATATCACCCCCACCATAGTTCAGCCATATTTTATTCTCCTTCAACTCATCTCTTTTATCATTGCGTAGTACCTTTGACGCACTTTATCTAACCAACATGCATTCACCCTCTTTTGTCATTATCTAGCACATGGGATAAGAGTCATCTACCAATTGGCTCTCATACCAATTGTTGGTGCAACGAAAGCGATCGTTGCGCAGCGTTGGTCACAAACAATGAAATAAAGTGCATACAATAAATAAAAGAGAAGAAACAAAGAATTTGGTAACGGGGTTCGGCCAATTGTGCCTACGTCCCCGGGAGCATTGAGCGGCTACCAATATATTACTAGAGAATAAGGATCACAATACCTAGCACACCCATGGGCCCAAGTGCTCATGGGGTGTTTCTATTTGGTGCTTATATCTAGTGCACATTACAACAAGGAACCTGAGTCCAATATATAACATTGGTTACTCTTCTATATTCCAATATTAGGTGATGTGAGACTAATGTAATAACATATTTCAAGCCTTGACAACAATATATAGATAAAAAATCAAAGAAGTTGATGTCGTCTAGGCTTTTATATATAATTGTGTTTAGGGAGTCATCTGGTGGTTAAGGTGGAAAGTTTAAGGAATAGAGTGAAGGAGGTTGTGGGTTCCATATAAGGTGGTTTGATGTAAAGAGATGGAGTGAAGTGAAGGAGAATAATAGCGTGTTGACAGACACTTCGTGTCTGCCGACTCACATTCTTATTTTATTATATTAAGTATTCAATTTTTATATATTTTATTTTAAAAAATTAGAATGTTTTTGTATTAAGAGTATTTTATGTTAAAAATGTATTTATTATAATTCATTTAAGGTGAGATATGTGGTTAATTTGCTAATGCTGGTTACTTAAGATTATATGATTTTTTTGTAGAAATTAAAAAATGTAAGGGCAAAATAGGAAAATAGAAATTAAACCATGGTTGTAGTTATTTTATGTTTTGACTTTATATATAGTATAGAAGTATAGATATATGGGGAGGGATCCACTTACTCCAATAGTAAGTGGAAAAAACATACTTCACATTATGATCATTCGTTTTTGGGAAATCTAATGGTTAATTTGAATTAATGAATACATCTAAACCATTGGATTTTCCAAGATCAGATGACTAAGATGTGGAATAGATCTTTTCCACTTACTCTTGGAGTAAGTGGATCCCTCCCTTAAATATATATATATATAAAAAGAATTAATAAAAAATATATGTTAAGTGTTCGTAGCCATATGCTACCCATATCTAGAGTTTCTTGTTATAAACTATTGGCATTTGAGCTATACACTTGATAGAAAAATGAAAAAAAAAAAAATACCTGAAAAAGTTACTATATTAATGTTTGTTGTGGGTGAGATTCGAACCTTCAACCTCTTCTACTTCATTCTTTAAAACCTCTTTTACTTCATTCTTTAAACTAAGTTATGATGAAAAATGAATAACTATCATATTTGAAGCAGAAATTGTAAATTATGAGCGAGCAGAAATTGCCAAGTAAATAAGTCCATGTACATCTTAAGAAAGATATGAACAGATCCAAATTACACACATTCAACAAGCAATTCAAAAAATATCGATTTTGAGAATTAAAAAATCAAAGGGAAATCACACTAAATAATTCCTCAACATTTTAAGCAGAATCCAATTTAATTTGTAGGTACAATTATGATTGCGAAATACAATTTAAAATACTAGTCGAAATTTTTAGGAAGAAGAAAAAGAGAGAAGAGTGAAATTAAAGAGAAATTAAATTACATTGTATATAGTTCATGAGAAGCAACCAAGGCCTTGGAAATCTCAAAAATGAGTCTGGCCTCAAAAGCATTATTTGATAAACCCTTAGTAGCCTTTGGAACATGTTTGTCCCTAAGAATGTTGTCAGGGTTCATAGTCTTCAACATAAAGTTCATATAAAAATTCTTAATTTTAGACAACATCTTCAATGGTGTCATAACCACCCATCGCAATTTTCTAACTGATCTAACCCTCCAATTCCTACGTGGGCTTCCTCTCAACCTTATGATCTTCATTTTCCTTCCACCAACGGTGTCGCTGCCATCGAGACGGTGGTAGCTCCGCCTTCTCAAGTACCTCTTTATGCCACCGTAAGTTGGCTTTGGCAATAGTGATTTTGTTTCCATGGTATAGGGTGGAGTGAGTTAGGTGAAGGTCTCTTCTAGGTTTATGGAAGTGTATTATTTGTAATTTATGTTAATCTCTTAAAAGTTGAGGACTTAAAAGGGGATTTGTTTTAGACTTTTGAATAAGAAAGTCAAAAAAATACGGTTTGAGATGGTGGGTGGGAATGGGAACATGTGAGTAAACATAGCCTCCTCCATTCAATGTTGAATACATCACGATGTTTATCTATATGTTGTATCATTCTTCTATGAGCTAACTGAAAGAAATATATAAGTGAATTTGACATCACATCTTGACCCAAAATCTTAAGGCATTAGGTTTATGAGTTTATTCACTTTTATATAATGTGAGACTTCTCCATTTACACTTGGAATATTCAGCATATCTAACTACCATAATATTTTATTTCTTATATTATTTTATTTGTAAATTGTCAAGTTGGGATGTGGAAACAAGGAGTAAAATACAATATTGTTAATCTTAATATATGCATTGGAATATTTTCAATATACCATATAAAAATGTACAACAGTGTCGATCTTTCTTTAAAATATATAATATCACAACAAAAGATGTATAGAAAGAATGAAAGTTCAATACAGAACTTATTTAAAATTTCTTGACGAATTTCAAAATATTATCAACAATTTAATTAGTATAACCAACTATTGTAATTTTTATTTTCCACTTTCTTTATCTAAAAAAAATTAGGAGTCGTTAGAGGTTAATTGTATAAATAACATTGTGAAATATTATCTTAAGAGAAAAATATGGAAATTGCAAGTTTATTTCCTAACACAGGTGACATGACACATTAAATAGCAAAGGGATTAAACTAACCAATGTTTTACACTTTTTAAAGATTAAATGGGTATTTCAATCTACCAAAATAAAAAACCATTTATTTATGAGGAACCAAATGATAAATTACTTCTTTATAAAAATACATCGATCTAGAAGTTTGACTGCAAAAATGTTACTATGTGTTTGATCATTTGCTTCTTCTGAACACAATCTCATCCCCGATTTTTTTATTGATTATTTATGTTGAAAACACAAAAATCGCTTTCTCAATATAGTTGATAATTTGTGGCCATCGCATTGTAAACCAGCTCTGCAATTTGTGGCCATCGCATTTATTTATTATTATTTTTAAATAAATGGAATCGATAGGAAAGAGATGACACTTATCGTAGACCGACTTCTTTAAGCAGAAAGGGTGAGACAATACGGGTCACAATGAGACTGTTCAAATTTTATAAATTAATTAGGTGATTAAACATTTTAAATAAATATAATCAACAGTAAAGAAATGATATTAGTCTAGCGCGACTTTCTGTTTGAAGCTGAAAGAAAGAGATGACGTGGACCAAGATCGGGTTATTTGTATTCCATTAATTTTATTCTTTACATTTTTTATATATAGAAAAATATAAGTTTTAATATTAAAAATGAATAATTATTATTATATAAAAAATGAAATTTAATTATTTTTTGTTATTTTAATATTAATTATTAAATTTCAAAGAAACAAATTTTACTTGCAAGTTGGCACGTTGAGTGTCCGTATTTGAGGACACAGAAAAACGACGGTCAACATTGAATATGAAGGGTGACCTTATAAGAGATACAATTTGGGGCAGTGAATTATGGGGTTATGTTCTTTACTTTTTGTCTCTTACACCACCTTTTTAGTTTCTGTTCGTTGTCTTCTGGGTAGGGAGTCCACACTGATTTTTTTCTTCTCAAGAGCCAATATTGGAGGCACAATATAAGTATATCAGCGGCATGTAGGCATTGTTATGTTCCTTTCTGCCTTCCGTCTTCATTATTGGGAAGTAGGTCATATATCGTTTATCTCATTGTTTCAAGAATGATCTTGGGCTACTTTATTCATTGCTAATTGTTTTTGAGATGTAAACTTAATATGATATCAGAGTCAGAGCCCAACTTATTTTCGTTTCTCATTGACCAAAAAGATGTTTTTTAGTTATGGGTCAAAGTAACATTTCGCTTGATCCATGAATGGTTTAAGTATTTGTTAGACTACTCATCTCGTTGTCAATTGGTTTTGAGATAAAAGCTTAATATTGGTATAACCACACCCTCTTAATAGACCTCATTGGGAATTATTCATGGTTTTTATCGTTCTTGTTGCAACTCTAAGCACTTGAACTACCATTGAGAAAGTCCTTATGGGAAGACATTAAAACTGGAATTTGGTGTTCCATCCAAATCAATGGTGGTGCATGTCTCCCTTTGAAATGAAAAAAATGAAATCCTCTTTGCACGAACTTGTATGTAAGTGTAGAAATTTTATGGTTAAAATCCAAAGTTCATGTGTTAACCTAAATTTGAGGCATGGAAATTGAAATTTGATAACCAAAACACACCTCAACCTCTTCCTTTTGCATGGCCTATCTTCCTCCACCACTTTAAACGCATGTGGTCACTACGCCATAATACGTCTTTAAAGACGGTTCTTCGACCGCGCATTCTAGAAAAATGCTGTAAAATAAAAGGTGGAGGAAAATTATACAGCACAACTTTAAGAATTCGATGTTAAAATGAATAAGCAGATATAATGTCAACAGCGCAACAGAAAATATGCGCGGTTAAATAAGTGTTTGTTTTAATTTGTAATATTTAACAGCGCCTATATTGCACATCGCTGTGAATAGTAATATGTTTAACAGTGTCATCATTACACATCGTTGTTAATAGGAATATGTTTAACAGCGCCATAGTTAATTGTCGTTGTTGATAGTACTCCTTTACAGTGCATTCATAGGTATTCGCTGTGGATTTTATATCTTATACAACGTAATCTAAAACTTGTGTTGTATATTATATATGTTTTAAAATAAATTTCTGAACAACATTCTTTCATCGTCTCATTATTAAATTATTTTCGAACCCCCATAATTCGTTTTGCTTCGTGACATGAGTTTCTCACGCGAAACAATAATGATATCAGTTTCCCATAAATATTTGGTCTGTATATTTAGCCTGTTAATTATATTACTTCATTGGAAAAAAAATGAAGTTCATCATAGATATTGATTTATCTTATAAGAATACTTCATGGATGCTGAAATTAGAACTTAAAACTATTTTTTGTCAGATGGAAATATTTGCAGATCTTTGCGTTTTGTTGATTTTCATTTATCGTCAAGCGTTTTAATTTACTTATTTATTTAAATATTTTTCATTTATGATTTAAGATTTTGATTTGATCCATCATACTATATGTTTATGTAATAGAGGGATAAAATTGAGGCTTTAGTGAAAGAGAAGTATATTCCACAACAACCAAATAAACTTTAGGCAATGTTTTAACTATATTCTTGAAAACATTGATGTTGTGCCAAATGATGAGTTATATGCATTTTCTAAAAATATTCCTTACAAGCTAATATTTCAAGATGAATCAATGTTGAAGAGGTGATTCATTTTTTATGTTTGAAATTATTGAATTTGTAATCATGTTTAATTATTTTATGAATCTTATGAATTTTATTTTCAGGGAACACAACTGAATGGGGTGTTGACCCACACTATATTGAATTTCTTAATTCTCTTTTCGAAGATGAAGAAGATATGGAGATTACTAATTTCTCTTATTGAACAATGTTGATGCATTATGCAATTTTGGACACTTCTTTTTTCTCTGTTTTATTGTCTTTTTTATCTGTTATTTTCTGGACATTTATTACTATTTTGGATATTTTAATTACCAATGATGAACATTTATTTTCTCGCAATTCCATTTTATTTTCTATGTTTGGCAATTATGTTATATATATGCAGATATTTGGAAATTTCACCAATCAAGATTGTACAATTCTCCGGTCAAGTTAGAATAGTTTAATATATTGTATAGATTTTAAAGATTTTAATGTGCATAACATAAATTATGATTTAATGTTTCAATGTAACAAGACATAAATAGAATGTAATTTTCATTTAATTTTCAATATATACAATATACAATTTCAATTAATATTTACAATTTCAGTTTTGTTCAATTCATAAGCTATGATTGCATGCATGTTAATACTTAATGTCAAATTGTCAAGCATGCAACTTGGCGTGTTAATAAACTTAAAAGTAAAAACATATGTTTCAACAACGAATTAAAACACATCGTTGTTGCATATAGAAATTATCCACAACAAAGTAACCCACATCGCTGTTGAATATAGAAAATAATGAATGATCCACAGCGAATTAAAATGCATCGTTGTAGCATATTTAAATGATCTACAGCCAAGTAAAACTCATCACTGTTGAATATATAAAATAATGAATGATCCACTGCGAATTAAAATGCATCGCTCTTGCATATAGAAATGATCCACAACGAAGTAAAACTCATCACTGTTGAATATAGAAAATAATGAATTATCCATAACGAATTAAAACGGATCGCTGTTGAATGTAGAAAATAATGAATGATCCACAACGAAGTTAAGCGCATCGCTGTTAAAAATTGAAAAATATCTAAATGGAATATGTGTAACAGCTCCTTTTTAAATGGTTTTGCTTTATTATATGGGTTTCTCAAAGAGCATTAAAGATATCAGTTTCCAACATTAAAAATATCAGTTTCCCATAAAAAATTTAGTTTATATATTGAAAGAAAATGAAGAAGGATTTCATTGAAACAAAATGAAGTTCATTTGATGCAAAGCGTGCAACAAAAGCGAATGTAGATAACTTGCAGGATCAATACAATTTACTCGCTTAACGATTCCATGAAATGGAAAATCGGATGGAATCTGGTAAATTTGTTAAGGGGCCTGAAGCTTCTACTACCGTGAAAGAAAGTTTCATGCATCCAAGAAACTATATTCCCATCCAGAAGTAATTTAATAAACTAATTTGTTTTAAATATCATTTGTTTTCATTATTGCTAAACTAATTCATTTTATGTATTTACTATCATCTAGGGAGTAATCAATAATTACAAACTATTTCTGGATACACCATGTACCCAAGCAATGACAATTGGCTCGGTGTACAACATACGGGATGCAATGATACATAATGCACAAATCCCCTCCAATCATTTGAAGGTCTCAATTGATATTTCAATTGAAGATGATGCATTGCTGCCAATTCATGTTGATGAGGATATCATAACAGTTAGATTGACTTTAGGCTCTTTTGTGGCTTGGCCAAAACATCTTATAGATGTAGTTCCTATTATGGTATGTTTTCACCTTATATATGCTCATTCATTAATTTACATATTTTAATATGTAATTGATAACCTATATATTGAATATTTCAGAGAAAGGTGTCTGTTGACCATAGTACAACATCCTCTCCCAGAATAGATGAACATGCATCTAAAAAGCCAAAGTAGTGAAGTCTAAGCCACAGTCGTCTAAATCAAATCTAGAATTGTCAGGGGAGGTGGCCCCCATAAAAACCAACTACTTTGAAGTACTTTGGGATTATGTACAAAACTCACTTGACGATTCTACGATTATGATATTAATTCCCCCACCCATCTATGGGTTTTATGTTGATGAATTCATCGGTATAAATGAAGTGAAGGATGTACACGATCGTGATTGGATCTGTGCATCCGCTATATCTGTGTATATAAGGTAAACTTCTCATTTTCGCATTTAATCATTAATTGGTATATTATAATTAACTAGTGTTTGTGTTATATGTTAGGTACTTGTATGACAACTTTGTACCCCAAAGTAAAAAGAATGTGGTGTTCTTGTCCCCTCATTCTAACACTTTGGGTGTGGGTGCGGTTAACAATGACACAAGGAAGAATCATCAGTCACAATATGTTGCTGACATTCTTGAGAAAAATAAAGAGAATGCTGACTTATTTCTTGTACCTCTTAACACCGGGTAAGCATCATTTTTTATTGTTTTTAACAATGTTTTTTCTTAACATTTTATTAACCGTATGCATATATGTTTTTAGGCAACATTGGATTTTGGTTGCCATTAGTCGGGTCAGTCATCAATTATTCTATTTTGATTCACTAAAAAATGGCGATCCGAACAAGTACCCCAATATGATAGATATTTATACTAGGTAAGTGGACAACTCATTTAAATTTTCTGAATTTTGTTACACTTTCGTTATCACTTTCATTTAAACATTATTTTCTATATTATTTAGGGCATTGAATATATATAGAGGTCTAAACCCTAAACGTCAAAAAACCGTCAACTAAACTCATGTTAAGGTATTGACACTACCCATCAAACAATTATATGTAGACTCAATTATGGCATGCATTATTTCATTATCAATTACATTTACCTGATTTTATTTGTAGACCCCTTTCCAAAACAATAACAAAGATTGCAGCTTTTATGTCATTAACTCCATGAAGGAAGTCATTAAACAAGGCAAAGTTGATGTCAAGTTTAATGTAGATACATATAAAATTGACCAAATCGATATGAATAGGGAAATTTGGTCAAATTTTGTTTATTCTTTTAAAACATACAATTTGTAATATACAAAGGTTCTGTTAAATATAAATAGTTGTTTTGGTTCAAGTTGTGCCTTATTTTGTTCAATGCATTTTTTGTTTTAATAATTTGTTGTGTCTCAGTTATTTGATGTTTGTTTAACTTTAGATTTAGGAAACATGCAATTCAACAGCGAAAACTATTCATTCGTTGTATAATTATTCATCCCCTAATATCTTTCACAACGAAGTGATATACTTTCGCTATGGAAATTATAACTTCAACAACGTAGTGATATACTTTCGCTGTGGAACTTATAACTTCCATAGCGTAGTGATATACTTTCGTTGTGGAAGAGAATATCATATTTAACAAAAACAATTGAAGCTCCTGATATCTTCAACAAAGTAGTGTTATAATTTCGTTGTATAATTAATAACTTCCACAATGTAGTGATATACTTTCGCTGTGGAATTTATAATTTCCACAACGTAGTGATATATTTTCGCTGTGGAACGGATAATATCCACAGCGTGGTGATATACTTTCGCACTAGAAGAGAATATCCTATTAAAAAAAACAATTGA